CAATGAGTTTGGTTTCCACTGCAAGACACTAGGAAAAAAAAATTAAACCCCAAGTAATGAAGAGAAAGTAGATTATACAGATCAGAAGAAAACCAAGGAAACAGGAAGGAGAAAAACAATGAAACCAACTACTGGTTCTTTCAGACATCAACAAAACTGACAAACCTCTACACAGATTCATTACGGGGGAGGGGGAGTGGACATGAATTACCAATAATAATAATAAATTATGTGACATAGCTACAGATCCTACAGCGGGTGAATAAACACAGTATTATGAGCAATTCGAAGCAACCAAGTTGACACTTTAGATGAAGTGGACTGAATCTTTGTTAAGACCCAAGTAACAAACTGCCTCAGGAAGAAACAGACAACCTGAGTAGCCCTACATAAAAAAAAACAACTGTAGAGCCACCTGGGTGGCTCAGACGGTTGAGTGTCCAGCTTCCAGCTTTGGCTCAGGTCTTGGTGTCATGGTTGTAGGTTCCAGCCTCACACTGGGCTCCGCGCTGGTGTGGAGCCTACTTACAAACAAACAAAAACTGTAGCTGAAAACTTTCCCTCACACAAAACCCTAGGCCCAGATGGCTCCACCTCTTCATTTAAAAGAGAAATGATAACCTCTTCCAAAAAAATCGCATAGGAGAGAATACATTGAAAACTACAGACCAACATCCCTCATGAACACAGGTATGAAAATTTTATGCAAAATTCTGGCCAACTTAAATCCAACAACTAATCAAAAGTGTGTTACATCATGACCCAGTGAAGCTTATCCCAGGAATGTAAGGTGTACTGAATTCATGAAAAATCATCCTAACACTAAAAGAAAAGTATGATCATTGCCACAGATGGAGACAAAACCATGACAAATTCCAACAACCACTCCTTATAAAAACTCTCGGCAAACATAAGAGAAGGGCACCTCATGAACCTGATAAAGGTCAAGTACATAAAACCAAAACTAACATTATACTTACTGGTAAAATGGAATGTTTTTCCCCTATGATCAGTCAGATGTCTGCTCTCATGATCTGTTCACCTTTGTTTTTAAATTTTTTTTTCAAGATTTTATTTTTAAGTAATCCCTACACTCATCATGGGGCTTGAACTCACAACCCCGTACCAAGAGCCACACACTCCACTGACTGAGCCAGCCAGGTACCCCTCTGTTCACCTTTGTAATGATGGCTCTATCCAGGGCAATCAGGCAAGACAAAAAAGAGGCAAAGACAGACAGAAAGAAAGAAAGAAAGAGGTACCAGATTGGATAGGAAATAAAGCTGAATGTATTTACAATAAAGCTGAATGTAACATGACTGTCTATGTAGAAGATACAATGGATTCCACAAAAAGTTCCTACAACTAGTGAGCTCAACAGGCTTCCAGAGAGTATCAATATACAAAAATTATATTTCTATATAATTCCAAATCAAATTTTTTTAAAAATCACAACAGCACCAAAAAAATATAAAATACTTAAGTACAAAAGATGTGGAAGACCAGTACACTGAAAAGTAAAAAATACAGCCAAGAGAAATTAAGGAAGACCTAACCAAGTGGAGACAATACAACAGCTCTTGCTCACCACATTAAAATGTCGTTTTTCTCCAACAACTCTATAGATTCAATGCAATCCCAATAAAAATCTCACCATTTTGGAGATACTGACTAGGTCACTGTAACTTGTATGGAAATGAAAAGGAACTAGAATAGCCAAAATAATTCTGATAAAGAACAAAATTGGAAAGCTAACACCACCTGGTTTTTTTTTTTTTAAGATTTTATTTATTTGACAGCTAGATATAGCGAGAGAGGGAACACAAGCGGGGGTAGTGGGAGAGGGAGAAGCAGGCTTCCCGCGGAGCAGGGAGCCCGATGTGGGGCTCGATCCCAGGACCCTGGGATCATTACCTGAGCCGAAGGCAGATGCTTAACGACTGAGCCACCCAGGTGCCCCACCACCTGCTTTTAAGAATTACTTACAGTAGGGCACCTGGGTGGCTCAGTTGGTTAAGCGACTGCCTTCGGCTCAGGTCATGATCCTGGAGTCCCGGGATCGAGTCCCATATCGGGCTCCTTGCTCGGCAGGGGGTCTGCTTCTCCCTCTGACCCTCCCCCCTCTCATGTGCTCTCTCTCTCTCTCATTCTCTCTCTCAAATAAATAAAAAATCTTAAAAAAAAAAATTATAAGAATTACTTACAGTAATCACAAGTATGGCACTGTGTGAACACAGATTTAACAGATGGGTGGAAAAGAAAGACACAGTCCCAGAGATAAACTGACACATGTCGGGACAAATGATCCGGATGACAACACAAAGACAGCTCAGTGGAAAAGGGGGAGTCTTTCCAGCAAACGGTGATACAACAGTTGCATACCTACACAAGTAAAAAAAAAAACAAAAACAAAAAACTCTGCCGCTGTACCTCACACTATATACAACAATTAATTTAAAATGAGCCACAGACCTTAAAAATGTAAAATTTAAAATAATACAACCTCTGGGAGAACACCTTTGTGACTCTGGATTAAGCACAGATTTCTTAGGTACAAAACCAAGAGCAAGATCCATAAAAGAAAAAAAACCTGATAAACTAGACTATCTACAAAATTTAAAACTACTACTTTTCAAAAGATACTGTTAGAACAACAAAAGACAAGCCACAGACTGAGAGAATGTATTTGCGATTATAAATCTGATAAGGACTTGTGTACAAAACATATAAAGAACTCCCAAAACTCAGTAATGAAACAACCCAATACAAAAATGGGCAGAACACCTGAACAGACCCTTCACCAAAATGGCAAATGCATATGGTAAGATGTTTGACACTATTAGTCATTAGGAAATACAAATTAAAACTACAGTAAGATTCAACTACCTACCTTTTGAATGGCTAAATTAAAGGACCGATCACATCAAGTGTTGATGAGGACATGGAGCCACTGGGGCTTCAATCCCCAGTGATGCGCTTACAGAGGGCGCCATGATGGACCATAGCTCTACTGTTTCTTTCTTTCTTTTTTTTTTTTTTAAAGATTTTATTTATGTGACAGAGAGAGACAGAGCGAGAGAGGGAACACAAGCAGGGGGAATGGGAGAGGGAGAAGCAGGCTTCCCACGGAGCAGGGAGCCTATTGCGGGGCTGGATCCCAAGACCCTGGGATCATGACCTGAGCCGAAGGCAGACGCTGAACGACTGAGCCACCCAGGCGCCCCAGCTCTACTGTTTCTTAAGAAGATAAACCGACCAGATGATCCATCTATTCCATTCTTATGTATTTCCCCAAGAGAAATGAAAACATACTTCTATACAAAGTCTTGCCTTATAAATGTTCACAGAAGCTTTATTGGTAATAGCCCCAAACTGGAAACACCCAGATATTCCTCACCAGGTGAATGGAAATACAAACTGTGCCATAGGATGGGATGGAATACTGCTCAGAAATAGAGAAATGACCTATGAATGTTATGACATCAGTGAATCTCAAAATTAGTAAGCTAAGTAAAAGAAGCCTGACAGAAAGAGCACATGCCATAAAAATCTATTTATGTAAAAGTCTAGAAAATGCAAACTAACTTAGAGTGACAGAAAGCACATCAGTGGTTGCCTGGGGCAAGGAGAGGGCACGGGAAGCTTTTAGTGGTGACAGGTATGTTCCTGATCTTGATGGCGTTACAGGTATATACACATCTTACCAAATTTGGTAGAGGAATCAGTGTGGGAGTGGAGGAGTGAGCAAATCAACTCTATCATGCACTCAACGCTGTGCTCCAAACCAGGGAAAATAAAACTTACAGAAAAGCTGGGATGCACTTCCAATACGTGATGATTATTGTACATCAATGTACTGCTCTATACCCTCAAAAATGAAGAGGAGGAGAGTGCTAGGGTCTGAGAGAAAACAGAAGGCGCCATATGGCTATCCAGGAGCTCGGCCGCACCGGGCCCCATGGCAGCACTGTGGGGCTGTGCCAGGGGCCAGCTGGAGTTTGTAATCCCAAACTCAAAACGACAGCGTTCCACACACTACGTATTTTGTTCAGCCACCGTCGATCCGTTCAGGAACAGGCAGGCACATGGGAGGCGGAGAACTGATGGAAGGAAGTAACTGAGAAGAGGCTCTGGGTGACACAGGCAGAGGTGGGAAGGAGGGCGGGAGGGACGAGTGCCAGCAGGAACCGTGAAGGCAAGGTCATCATGGGGCTCGTCCTTTCAGGGAAAAACCAACATGGACACGCTGCTGTCCTATGGAAGTCTGTGGGCAATAGGTGCGAGAACATGTGTTAACAGACCGTCTCCTGGTAAGACCAGCACAGCAATGCAGCGGGAAGGTGGGCCTTCCCTAAATCAAGTGTAGCTCCAGACCATCACCTGGGAGACCAAACACACTCCACATGCATCTGGTCTGCTTGATTAGCCAACTTCGGGCAGTTATTTCTCCCACTCAAGCTGCCCCATCCAGTCGTTAATGATGCGACTGTAGCCCACCCCACAGTCTGCTGGGGCTTTACACTGTGGCTGGTCGTTTAGATGCAGCGGAACCAAACTCGAGGTAAGTCATCCGCACCCACCACTCCGAGGTACTTCTACATCGGCCCCAGAGCCTGGCCCCAAAGAGAACTGTTGTCTTCCCCCTGCTCTTTTTTTTCTTCTGAAAACAGCCTTAACTACTCCCTCCCTTTTTATGAAGAAGGACTTCAACACTAATGTTCCCTCTCTGCATTTTCAGAGACAACTCGCCCTCCAGTCCACCTTCCACTTCTCCCAATTAACCCAGACCCGCCTTTCAGGAACCGCTTGGATCTTCCACTCCCTGTGGCACCTTCCCGACCAGAACTCCTCATCTCCATGTCCACTTAAGAGGGAATTTCAAGTAGAATCAAAGGAAGCAATCAAAGGCACAGTGTTTAGAGAAAGACAAGCTAAATTTTAAAAAGCAACATGAAAAAGCTCACACTCTACACAAAAATGAATTCATAAAATAGCTTTACCAGTCTCACTATTTTCAGGTGAAGATTCATGTTCTGAGCGATCCAGAGCCAAAGTGCTCCCAGCGGTTTGGTTTGACTCCTGCAAATCTGATAGTGCCACATTCTCATGACTTTTGTCATCATCGTCATTGGCATCCAATCCTGTAATTAGGAATTTTATCCCAAAAGGCAGAATTAGAAGAATAACTTTCTCTTAAAACAAAACAAAATAAAAGCTTACAGTTGCAGTTACTTCAATTTTTTAACTTGACTGTGACAGACCTCCTTGGCTCTTCAATACTGCAACAAACCACGACACAAATTTTAATTAGTAATTTCTTTTTTTAATTCTTTTTTTTTTTTAAGTAGACTCCATGCCCATGGCGGGCCTTGAGCTCACAACCCTGAAATCAAGAGTTGCATGCTCTACTAACTGAACCAGCCAGGTGCCCCAATTAGCAATTTCTTAAAAATGGGTTAAATGGGAACAAAGACAAAGCCTTGAGAGCAAAGGCACTCCTCATCACAATCATGCTCATAACTCACCCTCCTGGCCGCAGTCTGTGCAAGGGCCCGACGGCTCCTCCCAGTCTGCACTCACACCACCATCCGCTGCACTACCCTCTTCCAAATGCAGCACAGGAGTCCCCCACACTTTAGCATTAGGGTTTAGCTCCGAAACCTTGGCTGTCGGTACCTAGGGGAAAATGTGACAAACATTTGTATCCCAACTCCAATCAAACACAATTTTACTTATTAATTCATACATGAAACGCATCTGTGTGACAGAATTAGGCCAGAAAGGTGGAGTTTTATTTACGTGTACGCTGGGGATAAAATGTGGTGCAAAGTAACAAAAGTTGGTACACCAAGCTCAGCTTCATTCACTATCAGGCTCCTTAGTTCCTACTAAGTGGAAGGCTCTCCAGAAACCGCACGTGAAAGATGAACTCCCTGCCTTCATGGACATTCAGTAAGTAACTGAGGATCTAACTGTCATCTCTGTTCTAGACACAATTCACAGATTTACAAATCTGAATAGAATGTAGATGGATAAAATTCTTAAATCTCAAACACTCATATAAGCAAAGGCTATAGACAACACGAGACCCTCGGAAGAACAAAGGTCTTCTAACGGGTTTGTCAGGCAGGGGCTTGGTGCTGCCTCTGCTTTGACCCTGCTCATGTCCAAGGATCCTGGCCTCCTTTCTGCTCCAACATGTTTGGCACTTTTGCTCCAAATGCTGTTTGTCCATAACACCCTCCCAGTGTCCACACACTCACACCTTCATTTCCTTTGGGGATAGGTGAGCTCTTTTCTGGTGTACCTAACTACCCCAATTTTTCTTCTCTTGCTCACAAACCTCAAGTGGATCCCTGAGTCTAAAGAAAAATCAACGTCTCTGGGACAGCTGCTCCCCCAACTAACTCCAGTTCATTGTCACAATTTTGTCAGCAAACCTAGCCAAATAATTTTCCTTTGCCTTGATACCACCATGCAGAGGTCAGAGCTTCCTAGGAAAGGGACAAGGGTCCTGGTCCCAGGAGCTCTCAGGGAATGCCAGGCAGGAGCCCTGAACTGGGAGGAGCCTCCCTGCATGACCCCTAAGTGCAGATGTTACCCAATACTGTTTTCAGGTGTGAAGAGGGTCAGGAAATATCATGATGAGCCATCAAGGACATGTGTGGATTCATCATCTTTACAAGACAGAATAAATTCATTCTGGCTGGGGTGATTAAGGCTTTGCAGTGAGAAACAAAACTCTGACACTGACAGGAGAGGCCCATGTGGTTAAACGAAGCATGCACTTTGTTCACACCTAAGAGGTGAGGGAGCCGAACAGCGCACCCACAGACCCAGATGCCTAGGTGAGGCCTCTGTGGGATTCTCTTTATGAAGCAGGGTTCCCCTTCTTTGGGAGCATCACACTCCAGAAGCACGGCTCTTCAGTCTCCCTTCTTATAGGACATCGAAACTGCCAGTTTGTTTCCAGTGCACTTTTGGTCTCTCTCCTCCCCGCATCTGTCCAGTAAATACTCCCTACATGCTCACTAAGCGCCAGTCCCAGTGCTCAGCAGTCAGGATAAAATGGTAAAGCAGACACAACCCCTGCCCTCCTGAGCAAAGAGAACGATACAAGAGACACTCCATATTTCAAAGACATCACTACCCTCCCTCAGCATCTACACAACTTCCATCTGTTTTTGTTTTTTATTTTGTTTTGTTTTGAACTCATGCCCCTTCCTCTTTCTTAGTCCAATGCTGCTATCAAGGCCTTTTTCTGATTGGACTCTCCACCACGCAACAACACACATCAAGCTTTCCCACACTACGGTATTCAACCCACTGCCATGGCCCCCTGACCTCAGGTACACGCTACACATCCTCTAAGTTCCTACCACCCACTAACACAGGTCCTTCCCACTGTGAGCACCTTCTGCAGCTACCTGCACTGGAGCATTCCCAACACGGACTGCACGTCATACCAGGAGCACAGTGCCCGAAAGCAACCTCCTCAGAGCCACCGCAGGACTAGCCCTGCTACAGCACATCTGTCCTTCCCACTAGTCCATCAACTCTTGCATGGCCCTTTTGTTCGCCACTGTATTGCTAATACCTAGCAGCTCTGACCTCAGTACAGTCATGCCTGAGAAATATGCTCAAGGAATGAATGTTTAATAAAGCAACAACATAAAAAAACTGTATTTTCCACTATTGGACAAATGGTGCAAAAGTTTTATGCCACAACTGAATAGAAACCTGTCCTTATGGGGGCGCCTGGGTGGCTCAGTCGTTAAGCATCTGCCTTCAGCTCAGGTCGTGGTCCCAGGGTTCTGGGATCAAGCCCTGCAACGGGCTCCCTGTTCCGTGGGGAGCCTGCTTCTCCCTCTCCCACTCCCCCTGCTTATGTTCCCTCTCTCGCTGTCTCTCTCTCTGTCAAATAAACAGTATCTTTGAGAAATCAAAAAAAAAGAAACCTATCCTTATGTAATCTACTACTTCTCAAATATTTGGGACGTCACACAATTTTAAGCAGTTAACCAGTATTCAAGTGATACTTTTTTTTTTTTTAAAGATTTTATTTATTTATTTGAGAGAGAGAGAATGAGAGACAGAGAGCATGAGAGGGAGGAGGGTCAGAGGGAGAAGCAGACTCCCTGCCGAGCAGGGAGCCCGATGCGGGACTCGATCCCGGGACTCCAGGATCATGACCTGAGCCGAAGGCAGTCGCTTAACCAACTGAGCCACCCAGGCGCCCTCAAGTGATACTCTTAAGTGACAAGGGATGAAAGAATGGAGACACATACTTAGGAGCTGATGACACAACAACTACCTCGAGTCCACAAGGTACCAGGCATATTCCATGTACCTTCTTGAGCTTAATCAAGACAACCCTATGAGGGTTTCATAGAGAAGAAAACTAAGGCAGAGAGAGGTTCAGTAACATGCCCACAAAGACAGTAATTAGAAAACTGTTCTAACATCAGCAAAAACAAAACATTACCAAGAGTTCATTACCTTCTGTAATTCACATGAAAAATAACCTGTCTTGGTTGTATTTCTTTAAGGTGTGGGTCTTCTCTTGCAGTCATGTGGAACTCTAAGCGTCCATCAACAACTCAAGTTTCACCTGCTTGACTACATGTCTTATTTTTCCACTGAAAATTCATGGCTAAGCAGTGGTTATTAAAACCAAAAGTGAGCTGACCTTAACAGCCATGCCCTAGAGCAATTTTATATAAATGACCACCACCACTCTTTCGAAGTACAGCATCCATAAATTCTGACGCTCCTAAGAAACTCTACCCCCCAACACTAGGCTCCATTTAAAAAAAAACCCCAAACCTAACAATTCATAAATCTGTGTTTTCTGGACATGAGAAAGAATGGTCCCACTGACAAGTTACTAAGTAGGAATCAGAGTAACTAGTATCAGAGAAGAGGACAAGGGAGCTGGGGAATAAAGTAGGTGAGACACTGAGGGAAAGAAACTTTCAAACTTTTTATTTCAAGTTAACATGGACTATTCCTAGAGTTGCCACCAAAGAAGATTAATCATTCAGAGCAGTCCACTGGCTCTTTATCTGCAAAATGGAGTAACAGCCACTACCTAAGACTGATATGAAAAAAACGTCCGGACAAGCACTTTGAGAAATGAAGTTGTGAAAAGAAAGCACCTGCATTAAATGTACTCAAATCAGAACACCGCCCAGGCATATGTCACAATCGAAAAGGACACGCATATCTCACGTAAATGGCAGCACCAGGGCCCATGTGCGCACTACATGGATGAACCAAGCGTAGACACGGACAGCTGACTGGTAATCACACCCACTTATGTAAACAATTATGTGCGTATTACTTAAAGGCCTAATTTTGTAGTGTTTTGCTTCCACAACTACTTAAGAAACAAAAGCAATTAACTTGAATGTAAATCCTTTTGGCAAAAGTCCCAAATGTGGAAATGGAAAGGAGGTTAATCAGTAATTCCCTAAGTTACAGGGTTACATTTATACTTATGTTCATATAATTGGCATTAACATTTGAATCACATCTATCTCCTTACTACCATCAATGATTTTTCTTGCTTAATGCAACAAAAATCACTAATAATAAACTATCCTGGGGCACCTGGGTGGCTCAGTCGATTAAGCAGCTGCCTTCACCTCGCATCATGATCCCAGGGTCCTGGGATTGAGCCCCGTGTCAGGCTCCCTGCTCAGGGGGTAGTCTGCTTGTCTGTCTTTCCCTGCCTCTGCCCCCCTCCACTCGTGTGTGCATGTGCACACACTCTCTCTCTCCTCTCAAACAAATAAAATCTTTAAGAAAAAATTTAAAAAACTATTATCAAAAAGATATGAAACAGTAAGTGTTGGTGAGGATGCTAACAAGGAACGTAGTACATTGTTGGCGGGAATGTAAAATGGTGCAGCCACTCTAGAAAACAGCATGGAGGGTCCTCAAAAAACCGAAAGGTGATCCAGCATTCCTACTTCTGGATATTTACCCGAAGAAAACAAAAAATACTAATTTGAAAAAAATATCTGCACCCCATGTACACTGCAGCATTATCTACAAGAGCCAAGATATGGAAACAACCTAAGTTGTCTGCTGATGGATAAAGAAGATGTGGGATATATGCAATGGAATATTACTCAGTCATAAAAAAAAGAATGAAATCTTGCCATTTCCAATAACGTGGATGGAACTAAAGCGTATTTTGCTAAGTGAAATAAGTCAGACAAATCCCTATGATCTCACTTATATGTAGAATTTAAAAACAAACAAATAAACCAAGCTCATAGAACAAATTGGTGGCTGCCAGAGGTGGGGGTGGGGGTTGGGAAAATGTGTTTTTGTTTTTCATTTTTTGTGGTATGTTTTTTTTTAAGATTTTTTATTTATTTGTTAGAGAGAGAGAGAGAAGCAAGGGGAGCTGCAGGCAGAGGGTGAAGCAGACTCCCTGCTGAGCAAGGAGCCCAATGTGGGACTCGATCCCAGGACTGGTCCTGGGATCATGACCTGAGCCAAAGGCAGACGCTTCACCAACTGAGCCACCCATGCGCCCGTTTTTAGTTAAAATAAACTGAATTTATAAATAAACTACTGGTTGAGTCAATGAGATTCTGCTGTTGGAAGTATGCCTTTCAATTATACATGTCCAAAAGGACTACTTTAAGGGCAAGACTAACTTC